TAAAGTGCTATATACCTGATAGTTATTGTTGTTATTATCTGGAAACAGGGAGAAACCACCACATTTCAGTAGGGCTGTGACCAGAAACATCCAACAGAGACTGTGTATGTGTCTACTGAAGCAATGACCAGAAGTATCAATGAAGACTCTGTGTCCCATGGAGATAAGTGGGGAGCAGGCATGGTAAGAGCAGAATAATGGCATCACCAGCTGACTTCAGTGCCTGCAAAACATCAGAGGCATAAGTTGACCTTTCGCCACAGTCACATTTATTAAGCAATTACAACGTACCAGGCACTGAGCTAAGCTCTGGGGATACAAATACAAGCAAAAAGAAAGAATCTCTTGCTCTCAAGGAGTTTACACTCTGATGGGAGAAGACAACACATAAAAGGGAAGCCAAAGCAGGAGGGGAAGAGGTATCCACACGGCGGCATAGCAGCTGAGTCTAAAGAATGAGAGGTGCTGGTCTGGGCCCTTCCCCAAAAAGAAGGTTATGCAAAGAACTCATCAATTGAAAAAGTGACCCACGGGAGGCAAGTTAGGAGAAAGGTGGCTAAGTCTAGAAAATTAGAGATGGTTGTTCTGGGACTCTTCCCCAAAATAGAAGTTCTGGGGAAAATGTACTTTCTGGGCATGTGTCCTGGTCACAACCTTACATGTATGGCCTCCAGTCATCCTTGCTTCCTAAGTATGTGCCTTTCCATGTGTGTAGCAGGGCCATTCCTTTTCCTTGTGTGTGTACCTTTTTCACATGTATTTCCTATGTGCATTCACTCTTCTCACCAGTGGTGTATGTATTCGTGGGAAAGTGTGCCTCATTTTATGTGGGAAATATTTTATTGTCACCTTTACCTAGAATGAATTATATCCTCCTCTGGCTGACTGTTAAAAGGAAACACATCTCTGGGGGCTTGTGAGCTATGGTTTTGGTGGATGAAGGATTCATGTAGAGCTCCTTGAACCTGGAATAGTTGCGTCTGGAGGGAGGTACTGCCCTGTGAGTTGAGGGGGGCAGTCACTACATTTATATGCGTACATGTTACTTCCTCCAATAGAATGGGAGTTCCTTGAAGACTAGTTCTTTTTTGTCCCCATATCCCCAGTGCTTAGCATAATGCCTGGCATGAGAAAGTACTTAATGTTTATTGAATAACTAAATATATGAATGTATATGAATATGTGAATATATAAACATATGAATGATATATATACCATATATGTCCTAGAGCCATAGAACAGCAGAGTTGGAAGGCACTTTGGAAATACTAGTCCAGTCCTTTCATTCCATACAGGACAAACCTGAGAGGCCCAAGGAAGTGAATTAACTTGCCCAAGGTAATTTATAGGCTCCTAAATCTAGAACTGAAAGAGGTCATATAGTCAAGCAACAAGCATTTATTGGCCCTAGTTCTCTGATCCTACGTGTAACCTTGAGCAAGTAAGTCACCTCCCTCCCCTCTCGGAGCTTCAGTTTCTGCATCTCCAAAAGTCATAAAGTCAGAAAGTTGGAAGGGAACTTGGCAGCCTTCCAGTCCAAATTGTCCATGAAAGAAATCCCTAGAGCAGCTAGATGGAGCAGTGGATAGAGCACCCACCCTGGAGTCAGGAGGACCCGAGTTCAAATCCGACCTCAGACCAAACACTTGACACTTACTAGCTGTATGACCCTGGGCAAGTCACTTAACCCCAATTGCCTCACAAAAAAAAAAAAAAAGAAATCTCTGCCAACATGTGGGTTCTCCATCCTCTGCTTGAAGGCATCCTTCCCTGTCCTTCCTCCCCCCTCCCCGCCCTGCCCCACTTCTTTGTATCCCTAGTGCTTAGCACAGTGATTGGTACATAGTAAGGCCTTAAAAAATGCTTGTTGACTTACCTCCTGCTTCACCTCCATCTGGATTAAAACTCTCTATGAGATCCTCCCACTTTGGCTTTTCTCTGTTGGTGGCCCTGCTATCATTGGGTATGAAGACTCAAGAAGACCTTTGAGGCCGCTGCCTTATCTGACTTTCTAGTATCTATAATTTGTTGTTGTTGTTCAGTCATGTCTGACTCTCCATGACCCCGTTTGGGGTTTTCTTGGCCAAGATACTAGAGTGGTTTGCCATTTCCTTTTCCAGCTCATTTTACATTTGAAGAAACTGAGGCAAACAGGATTAAGTGATTTGCCCAAGGTCATACAGCTAGTAAGTGTCTGAGGACAGATTTGAACTCAGGTCTTCCTGAGTCCAAGTTTGGTGATCTATCCACGGCACCATCTAGCTACCAATACTTTAATTCACTGACCCTTGCTAGTTTTTAATGAGTCCCTGCAGTGAGTGACTAATCCTCCCCTATCAGGGGCTTGCTAAGTGGGGGAACCTCTCAATACTATAGGGATTTTTCAACCCCAATGGATCACATGGCAAGTTGGTGACAGCTAGGACAAGAGGGGAGCTGATGCTTCCATTTGGAGAAGCCTCAGACAGGCATGGCCCCTTGGTTTTCTCTTCCCTAAGTCAAACTAATGGCACATCACAGACCCACTAAAGTAGGCAAAGAACTGTGGTCTGGTGGAGGGTGGCCAGTGAGCAAGGCCAGGCAGGACAGAAGGCCTGGAAGCAGCTTCAACTCTAGGGCACCAGAGGAGAGAAAGAGAGAGGGCAGGAAGGCAGCCAGCCCTGGCTCTGTGGGGCTGGTTAAGCAGGTGCCTTTGCATTCCTTGGCGTGGAACTCGAGATAGCATTAGTGCTGATAGGGCTGGGGAGGTGGGGGTGCCTTGGCCTTCCTCTCCACACTGGCATTTGACTGGAAACAAAATCGAAAACCAAACAAATTGAGGCAGCAGCTGACTTGGGCTGGGATTTTTCTGTGGTTTGGTGTTTACAGATTAGGGATGGAGAGGGAGGGGAGTTCCCCCGGGGAAAGGAAGTACTGTATGTCAGACCATTTTCATTTCTTCTTCTTTTTGGCTTTGAAAATGAAAGTAGCAAGGCCTTTTCACCTCTGGGCTTGAGTTGAACTCTGGGCTCTCCCGACTCAACGGGCTGATCTCGTCTGTTGCTGACATTCTCACTGAGCTGTCCCTGATGTCAGATATTTTTTGGATGCACCTCGAACCCAGGGCTTGGGAGAACTCTATGCCTCTAGTTCCAGTTCCAAACATATAGCGGGAGTCTAATTGCTGAGGAGGCTTTCAGCTCCCTGATTTCCAAATGAGAATGAGAGCCTCAGAATTCATCAGTGAAGTCATAGCACAGTGAAGAGAACCCAAGCTCTGAAATGAGAAGACTTAAGTTCAAATCCTACCTCTGAATTCCAGTGTGACCTTGGAAAAAAATCATTTCACCTCCATGGAGCAAGTCATTCACTTAACTCCGTGGGCCTCAGTTTCCTCATCTGTAAAATTTGGAGCCTGGACTAGGTGACCTCTGAGGTCTCTTTGATCTCTGGATCTTTGATCTTAAGGCATTTTGCCTCTCTTGGCCTCAGTTTCCTCATCTGTAAAATGAGGGGGCTGGACAGCTGGCTTCTGAGGTTCCCTCCAGCTTTTACACTTATGATCCTATGCTCATTTCGTGAGGCAGCAGGGTGTAGTGGTTAGAGAGCTTGCCTCAGAATCAAGAAGACTTGAGTTCAAATTCCGCCTGACTCAAACTAGCTGGGTTACTCACTTAACCTCAGTGCCCCCAGGCATACACCCTGCAGAGGAAGTTTCCAGATATGCACAGGTGAGTGAGTTTATCACTGCTCCTCCCCCTATTTGTAAAGTCATGAGTCTGGTCCTCTTTCCCCCTCCCAAGAAATGATTATCATCAATGTTTACTGAATTCAAGTAGCAGAATCAGGAAGTTAAGGTCTGTGCACATGAAAAAAATAACTCTAATCCAAGGGTAGGCAATACTGTTCCAGTCAGGGCTAGAGGGGTTCAGAGGTAAGGGTTGGGGGAGAGCCTGAGGATGATTCCTAAGGACTCCCAAAGGAGGAGATGGATTCCCCTTGGCCTAGAAGAATGAATAAGAGGGAGGAGGGCATGTCAATGTGGAGAGTCAATATGCTGCGTTAGCTTCTAGATCCTTCCCTTCAACATCCATGTATGTTGTATGGAATAAACTTATTTATATGTTGTCTTCCCCTAAGAACGTAAGCTCCTTGAGGCCAGGGATTGGTTTTTGTCTTTCTTTGTAGCCTGGGAACTTAGCATACTGCCTGTTGACTGACCAACTGCAGAAGTATAGAAGGACTGGATAGGAAGGAAGACAGGGTTTGGAGACTAGTTAGAAAGCAACTGCAGAAGTCCAGGGATAGTAAGTGCCTGGTTATTTTGCAAAGGTGGTGATGGGGTAGAGGGGGTCATCAGCTGGATGGCACAACTAGTGGGGAATTCTGAAGTGGTACCAAGGGATAGGATAGAATGGCAAAGAATAGTGGGTTCCTTCCTTTGCTCTCCAAATGGAGGGACACATCCCCCCCTAACCTGCCCAAACCCCACCCCACTTCCATGTTTCCGGAAACCTGACTTGGACTTGTCCATTGGATGTTGTGAAGGCCTGAGTGAATCACCTCGAAGAAGAGCTCAGTCATCAGTTCAATAAGAAAAAGCATCTCATTTTCTTCCAAAATCCTGGATCTGCTATTCTGCACAGCAGTGCAAAGGTCCCACGGGAAGAGAGGCAGAGGGGAGAGTGGAGTCCCTTTGCAGAGAGAGAGATCTGATGGCAGGAGGGGGAAAATTCCAAGTTCTGCTCAGGAAAGGAAGGGTACCTCATCCTTGGTTCTCCTGGGGCTTCTTCTGGGGTGCCCCTGGACAGCTCCCTGTCAGCTAGGACTGGGAGTGAGGGAAGGAAGGTGGTCCTGAGTCAAGGTCAGGCAATAGGCCAGGGAGAGAGGAAGGCGGGAGGGACACAGGCAGTCTCCTTAACTGAACGCCACCCCGGGACAAAGGCGCCTGCAGGACAAAGTTCAGAGGGCCCAGAGAGTGAGGAAGGGAGAGGAAAGGGGGCGGGGGAAGAGGCCGGGCGGGGCCCAACCGCCGGGAGCTGAGGCCGCCTGGGGAGCTTGAGGGAGGAGCTCCGTTAGGCAGCCGCAGGTTCCCCCCGCCCCTAGCAGGGGGCCGCGGGGCAAAGGCGGCCAGCTGGTCAGGACCCTGGGATGCTGAGGGAGTGTCCTGGCCGGCCCGGGCAGCCGAGGAGGCGGGGCTGCGGAGCGCACCTGGCCGCGGCCAGGGTGGAGCCGGGCTGGGCCCAGGGTGACCGCCGCAGGCCGGGAGGCTGGCAGCTCGGGGGCGGGCAGTGGGGTCTGGGGGCCAGGCCTTCCCTCTCCGTTTGCGGCCAAGTGCCGCTGCGACCTGCCCCAGCTCCTGGAGAGACTCGGCCGAGACTAGACGAGCCAGCACCGGAGCCAGGGAGCCATGGCTGAACCCCGAGGGGAGACGGAGCCGCTGCCTCCTCCGCCTCCGCCGCCGCCGCCGCTGACGCCTCTGGTCACCCGCAGCAGCCAAAGCCGGTCCCGACCCCCGAGCCTGGACAGCCGCAGCCTGGGTAGGGTCCCGCGGGAGCCCAATTGGCGGGCTTCGCTGCGGATGCCAGGACGGCGGCGAGGGGCACTGCGGGAGCTGCTGGGGCTACCCGCGGGGCCCACGCGGGAGGACGAGCAGCCCCCCGCTGGGGCGGCGACGGCTTCGGCGGCCGGCGGCCCCGGCGGGCTCTGCCTGGAACCCCGTGAGCACGCGTGGATGCTGGCGGCCGCCGAGGGCCGCTTTGAGGCGCTGCAAGAGCTGCTGGAGGCAGAGCCCGCGCTGCTGAACCGCGTCGACCCGGTCACGGGCTATAGCGCCTTACACTGGCTGGCCAAACACGGCAGCCACGAGGGGCTCATCCTAGTGCATGACTTCGCCCGGAGCCAAGGGCTGTCCCTCGACGTGAGTGCCCCCGGCAGCGGTGGCCTCACCCCGCTACACCTGGCGGCTCAGCAGGGCCACGACATGGTCATCAAGGTGCTGGTGGGAGCTCTCGGAGCCGACTCCAGCCGCCGAGACCACAGTGGCCACCGGGCGTGCCACTACCTGCGGCCCGACGCACCCCCTGGCCTGCGGGAGCTGGCGGGCGCCGAGGAGAGCGAAGAGCCTCAGAGAGCGGCGACCGCCACGGCGGGGTCTGTGCGGCGCAGAGGCCCTCCCGGAAACGCCAACAACAACTGTAGCATCAGCCGCAACAGCTGGACTGCCCTGCTGCCAGACCGGACAGACGGAGGGGCCCCGGGCGGGGAGAAGGGCTCCAAGATGAACCAAATTCAGGGATTTTTCCGGCAACTGTTCTCCCTCTTCCAAGACCGGTGAGGGACTGGAAAAGCTTGGAGATCTTCGGAGCGGCAGCGGTGGTGGTGGTGGTGGGAGCCGTGGCGGCGGGAGAGGTTTCCGCTTCACCACCTACTATGACTCTCCCCACCTGGGGTTCACGGTGCGGGGAGGGCGACGCAGTCTCTTGGGGCTCCTTCTGAGTGACCGAGAAACCAAATCTCAGTCTAGGAGCTTGCAAACTGCCCTCAGAAGTCTGCAGATCAGTGGCCAGAGCCTTGCCCTTTCCTCCCGCCCCCAACGCCCTCCAGGTCTCTGAGCTCTTTGGGGGAATTAGAGCTGACCTCTCTCAAGTCCCAGAGGGACTCGAGGGGTCGAAACAGCCCAAGCCCTCCCTCCTGCCACAGTCCTCTCACAAAAATGCCTTGGGTCAGAAGGGTAGGAATCTGCGATTGGGACCAGTCCTGATCTGATGGGTCTGGCCTGGGACAGAAGGATCTGAGGAACTGAGGGAGTGGGTTCTTATCTGTGTAGGAGTGCAATTCAAGATGCCAGACGAGCCATTCTTGGCGTTTAGTACGGAACATTTTGCGGGAGAATCGAGAGTTAACACGGAAACCCCTCATGCAAGAACAGCTCCTAACTTTGTCAAGGACGGTTGTAGATGAAGCGGAACACAGCACGCAGAGTCAGTCGGGAGTCCGTCTTGCTAGAAGGGACTGACGTCTCCCGAACATTAAAAATGGGAATTTTCTTCTTTTACTTGCCAAGGCTGTCTTTGAAGCTATTTTGTGTGTGTGCCTGCTTGTGTGTGTGTGTGTGTGTGTGTGTGTGTGTGTGTCTGCTTGTGTGTGTGCAACGGCAGAAGGGTGGAGTTGCCCAGGCTCCCAGTGACGAAGGGACAGCCTTAAGGGAAAGCCCTGGTGTTCAGGAATGGTCTCCATGTCAGCTTTATTATCAAAAGGGGAGCACTCAGGAGTAACCATGGATCTTGGAGCCACATTTGATTTCCCCTCCCTAACTTTGGAATTGGTGGTTACTGGACTCTCAGGTCCAGACCAAGGGCACAAAAGTTGGAGAATCAGTTGAGTGGGGAGAGGAAGGATCTGAAAGGGGAACAGGCTCCAGTCTCATTTTCCGTTATTTTAGTGCTGAGTCATACATTCTACCTCACGGCCTCCATTGATAAAACATATCCCATGGCCGGTTTTTTTTTGCCCAGATAGGCTTTTTTTCTTCTCAGTGGTACTGGCTCTTCTTCTCACTCTTTGAAGTTTAACAGCAATGGTTTGGAAAAGTGCTTGGGTTTAGCTGAAAATGAATTCAAAGCTTGACTCAGTGTGAAAGGAGGGAAAAGCAGTTGCTGGCAGCTGCATTCTGAAATATCACAGAAACTAGACACTGTTTTTCTCAAAAATCATGGTGACATCCTGGGCATGAGTAGCCCTTCGAATGTCAGGCCTGTGTTTCCTAGAATTCTCAAACCAAGTCCCGATTGGCAGGAAATTGACTCACTGTAAAATATATGACAGAGACTCGGAGAAATGCCAGGCAGAGTGAGCTGCCATGAGCCACCCAGCGTGATATTCCATTTAGGACAGTGACACCAAAGAAAGCCTTGCTTGTCTTCCTTAATGTCACCCAAACATCCTCTGCCCTTCAGAAAGTAGCAGAACTTCTAAGATTGGCCCAAAGTGTCCTACCCACTTATTGTTGGCTTGCAGTTCATTGCACCAAGGGAGGGGACAGACAGTGTACTGGTGATCTCCAAACTCAATAATCTGAGTCATTTTTATGTTGAAACTTCATTACAAGGTTGTCTTCAGGGGTGTGTGTGTGTATACATACATACATATATATATATATATATATATATATATATTATATATATATATATATATATATCCACAAGGGGTATATGTGTGTGTGTTTATATGTGTATACACATACACACACATACACCTTATGGATGAGATCAAAATGCTGTTTGGCCTTTAATTCCTAAACCCCTTTGAGTGGGGTCCAGAATGGACCATATGAGACGGTGTGGCTTAATGGATAGTGTGCTGCTGGTCTTGGGATCAAAAAGAGCTGAATTCAAATCCTGCCCCTGTTACTTACTATGTGTGTGCCCCTGAGCAAGTCATTTCAATGTGGTATACTGGAATAAGAATTTTCCCTGGAGTCAAGGGGCCTGGGTTCAAATCCCACTGTTGACGCATATTACCTGGGTGAACTTGGGCAAGTCACTTCTCTCTATGCCTTAATTTCCTCATTGATAAAATGAGAGGATTAGACTAGATGGTATCTGAAGTTCTAGCTCTAGAGCTAGGATCCTAGGTATGACCTTGGGCAAGTCCTTTCCCCTCCCTGGGCCTCAGTTTCCTCTTCTGTAAAATGAGGTGGGTTGGACTAGATGGCCTCAGAGGGCCCTTCCAGTCCTAGATTCCTGAGCCTATGACCTCTAAGAACCCCAGGATGGCAGCCATCTTCATAAGTGGAAGTTTCATATTGATAATAGAAATCATACTAACTCACACTTAGAATACTGTCAAGCTTACAAAACACTTAATTTCAATAGCTCTATGAGGTGGATGGTATAAAGACTATTTCCATTTACAGAAAAAGAAACTGAGGCTCCCAGAGATGACGTGACTTGCCCATGGCCACCGAACAAGGAAGTCTCTGAGCCCAGATGTGAACCTGGGCTCCCTAGCTCCAGAACCAGGGATCTTTCCAGTGGACCGCACTCAAGTGACTTGCCTAGAGCCACCCCTAGTAAGTGCCTGTGAGAGGTAAGATTGGAACTGGACTCTTCCTGACTCTAAGTCCAGCAGCACATTATCCAGTATGCATCACTGCTTCATATGGTCTGGTTTGGACTCTATTGAAGGGAGTTTACAGCAGGATAAAAAGCATCTCACCTATAAGGCAATAAACACACACAGGCACATCTGTGTATGTGTGTATATGCGGGTGTCCAAAAAGTCCGAGTGCAACTTGAAGTTTTAATGACTTTAATAGCTTAGAACTGCGCTAAGGGATTTGGGCCACTCTGTATATATAGTTACATGTATAAGCAACCTTAGAGTGAGGTTCGTATTTAGAAATGACTCTTGGATTATTCAAAGTTTGAAGATTGCTTGTGTACTCCATTTCTCCCCTCCCTTAGAGTAACTGAGTAATTCACCTAGGGCCACCCCTTAACTTGATGGTTACAAAGGAATTGACATAAATCATTTCACTGGGTCCTGACAGTGCTTATGTGAGGCAGTCAGTGTTATTATTATGCCCAGGGGAAGAAATAGACTTGTAGAGGTGACAGGGTTAGCGCTGCGCTCAGGGAGGTACTGAAACCCAGGGATTCTGACTCCAAATGCAGGTTCCTGGGTCTTACAATGATCCCTGGCAGAAGTAATCTCTTTTTGTGTCATTGATTTCTTTTTCTCTCCCCCCCTCATTAAAAAGGACTTTATAAAGACTTTTTTTTTACAAAGATTGTTATAAAACTTTTGTAACAAATGTGGATAACTGAGCAAAACAAAGTCCCACAGTGGCCATGTCCAAAACCGTATATCTCATTCTGTGCTCCATCATCCTGCTCTGTCAGGAGGTAGGCAACATGATCCATTATTGGTCCTCGGAACTCAAGGTTAACCATTGCATGATCAAAGTTCTAAAGTCTTTCTTTCAGAGTTGTTTTTTCTCTAAAATGCTGTCTTTTAACTAATGAGTTATTGAGAGTTACGTGTTTTGTAAACTTGACGATATTATAAGTGTGAGTTAGTATGATTTCCATTATCAAAGGTTGTTCTCGTCCTGCTCACTTCTCAGTTGCCTCTGAAACCACCCCTTTGTCATTTGTTAGGGTGAAAAATATTCCATTCAATTCATCTACCAAAATTTGTTCAACCATCATCCAATAGGTGGGCACCCCTGAGCTTCCAGGTATTTGCCACCACAAAAAAAGTTGCTATGAATATTTAAATTTTTTTTAATTTTCACTTCCATATTCTCTTCCCCCTCCCCTCCACATCTCCTTCACACATTGGGAAAGCAAGAAATACAATACTACCCATTATACATAGACACTCATGCAAAAATATATTTCCACATTAGCTAGGTTCCAAAAAAGAAAAAAATCAAGAAGGGCAGGTAGGTGGCACAGTAGATAGAGCACTGACCCTGGAGTCAGGAGGACCTGAGTCCAAATGCAGCCTCAGACACTTGACACTTACTAGCTGTATGATCCTAGGCAAGTCACTTAACCCCATTGCCTAGCAAAAACAAAAACAAAAAAAAGAAAAAGAAAGAAAGAAAAAGAAGCTTCAATCTGCAGTCTGAATCCATTATGTATGTGTGTATATGTATATATATATGTATATATACATATTTATACACACACATAATGAGTACTTTGGAGTTGTGGTGGATCATTGTATTGATCAGTTACTAAGTCTTTCATAGTTGATTTTCTTGCTGTTATTGTGTTCAATGTTCTCCTGGTTCTGCTCACTTCATTTTGCATCAGTTCATATAGATCTTCCCACATTTTTTTCTGAAAGCAATCCATTCATCATTTCTTATAGCAAAATAGTATTACATCATATTCATATACCATAACTTGTTGAGTCATTCCCCAATTGATGAGCATCCCCTCAGTTTCTAATTCTTTGCTACCACAAAAAGAGCAGTTATAATTTTTTTCTTTTTAAAAATAGTATTTATATTTGAATTCATTTAAAATTTTTTGAAGTCCAAATTCTCTCCCTCCCTCTGGCTCCTCCCTCACCCATTAAGAAGGCAAGAAATACATCAATTATTCATGTGAAATAATGCAAAACATATTTCTATATCAGCCATGCTGCAAAAAAAGGCAAGAAAAATAAAGTTTAAAAAGTATGCTTCAATTTGTACTGAGAATTCGTTAGTTCTCTCTCTGGAAGTGGATAACATTTTTCATCATGAATTCTTAATTATCTCAGATCATTGTATTGATCAGAGGAGCTAAGTCTTTCACAGTTGATCCTCATTTAAATATTGTTGTTACTGTGTACAATGTTCTGGTTCAGCTCACTTTGTATGAGTTCATATTAAATCTACCCAGGTTTTCCTGAAACCATCCCCCTTGTCATTTCTTATACTACAATAGTATTCCAACACAATCATATACCACAGCTTGTTCAGCCATTTCCTAATTGATGGGCATCCCCTCAATTTCTAATTCTTTGCCACCACAAAAAGAGCTTCTATAAAAATTTTTGTACATACAAGTCCTTTCTCTTTTTCTTTGACCTGTTTGGTAAACAGATCTAGGAGTGGTATTTCTGGGTCAAAGGATGTTTGCACAGTTTTATATCCTTTTGGACATAGTTTCAAATTGTTCACCAGAATGACTGAACCAGTTTATAACTCCACAGTGCATTAGTGTACCTATTTTTCCACATCAGCTCCAGCATTTGTCATTTTCCTTTTCTGTCATCTTAGCCAATCCAACAGGTATGAGGTGGCACCTCAGAATTGTTTTAGATTGCATTTTTCTAATCAATAGTGATCTAGAGCTTTTTTGTGTATGTGTGACTATTGATAGCTTTGATTTATTCTTTTGAAAACTGCCTGTTCATATCCTTTGACTATTTATCAATTTGGGGAATGGCTTGTATTTTTATAAATTTGGCTCAGTTCCCTATACATTTGAGAAATGAGGCCTTTATCAGAGAAACTTGCTTTGTTTTCTTATTGCTATAGTGAGCTTTTCTAGTACAAT